ACCTTATAATTGCTAACTCTTTCCCTACAATAGTAACAACATTCAGAAATAATTCCACCACATAAATCGTTTATGTACTAAGTTACACCATTCTTCCATTTTGGAGAAAATAAGATCATTCAGAATTAATGAACGTGTTTAAATAAAATTATTGACGCATCTATTTCGAAGCGTGTGACCTATAAATTCTGAATTATGATAAGAATTAAAAAAGTCCTATTTCATTTTCTGATTTCTGGATTTAAAACAGAATTGGAGCCTTTAAACCTCCGCTTATCTTTAAAATAAATTAATTTTGAATCACCTTAATATTAATTATGAATTTTATTTATAATATTCTTGTTTTTATAATATTTGGCTCATTATGTTGTTTGGTTATTTGTCAGACTATTCCTAACGCTAGAAGCAGGCACGCTAGCACATTAGTTGGTACTAAACTTTACTTCTTTGGTGGAGGGATTTCAAATTTTATTGTATCTAATGAAGTTTGGTATATTGACCTATCAAATTCATTTAACACAACTACACCACCATGGCACATCGATAATGGAATGCTAGTAGGATATAATTTCGGTAGTTCATGTGTTAGTCCTATCGATAATTCAACAGTTTTTTTAGTTGGTGGAAGGACGTTTACTCCAAATACCGCAAATCTCGTAAATACGTCATCTGTATACGCATTTAATTCTAAGACTTCACAATGGACAACACCAAGTACTATTAATTTTAATGCTAGCTTTACAAGACGTGATGAAAACCAAGATGTTATTGATAATAGTGGGAGGATTTTTGTTTTTGGGGGAATATATTCTTCTTCTAACAGTACAATTTGGTTTAATGATATGAATATACTTGATATCACTACTATGACTTGGTCAACTCAAGTTCAATCCCAGTCCCTTGTTTACGCTGATTATACTGCTATATTATTACCAAATGGTTTTATTATTTACATTGGTGGCCGCGAAGGTCTACTTACAAATATGGCTAGTATGACTCAGGTATGTTCTAGCTAATAATATTTTTTCAATATTCAAAGTTTTGCCTTCACCTTAGTATTATTTAATATCAATTGCAGCTTCGAACATTTGATACAAAATCCTACACCTGGTCTACTAGAGTAATGTATATAATTAATTATTATTCTTGTTGTTAGTTATTAAACCTAATTTTGTTTGTTCTTATTAGATTGTTGGTGGTTCTACTGTCTTATCTCGTGTCGGTCATTCTACAGTTTTAAGTAAGCTGAACATATAGTATCAACACAAACTATAAATTTATATTTTTATTAAACATATTTATTTTTGCAGCCCTGGACGGAAATGTTATTCTATATGGTGGAGGATTGTTCGATATTAATGGCACCCTCGTTACTATATTTTCTGATATCGCAGTATTAAATACGAATACTTGGTTGTGGTCTATTCCAAGAGTTTTTGGTGCAAATGCTCCTTCATCGCTCGCATTCCATTCTGCTACACTATACAATAATTATATGATTATTGCATTTGGTAATTTACTTTTTTATATTTTATTTATTTATTATAGCTATTAAATTTTTTAAATTTATTTAACCTTCACATCTTCAGGCCAAATTACAGCAACACCGGAGATAAGTACTAATAATATTTACATCTTGGACACACGAAATTACACCTGGGTTACTTCTATAAATCAAGATCTACTTTCAACAACTATCTCACCTACTCAACAAAATAATAATTTATATATTGGAATTGGTATTGGTATGGGTGTAATTATTTTAGTCTGTATAATGATTACTGTTAGGTTTTAATTTATAAAAAACAAGACTAACTTATTATTAGAAGAATGCACGTCTGAAGACGGGTTATGTTGATTCACCAAATCGAAAGAGCAGGAAGATCAAAATTTAATGCACTTTAATTTATTTTATAATCGATATTTAAATATATTCATACCTAAAAATTTCGTGCTAAAATTTTTATTAGAAGTAAACCTGTGGTCATAATAGTAAATTCTTGAGTTATTTACGATTTTTATGTTTTATCAAATTTTTTGTTACATCTGATCTTGTAATTTTATACCATACGATCATATGAATGTGTAACATGAAATGTATGATTTTTGAAAATCCTTTTTTAGTATAAGTAATGGTTTTCATTTATCCAAATCTAGTAGAATTAAAATAATTGTCCGGAGCGTAGCGGAGGACTTACATTTTCAGGTCAATGGTAAATTTTGGTCCTATATCCACACACGTAATCGTGCATAATTATCACGTATTGCATACTAGATGACTGAGCTGAATTTTACGGACGGGAGTCCTTAAAATGTACCCGGGTATAGGCTCTTAACCTATGACCAAAAATAAATAAATTAAATTTAAAAGAGTCATCACGTGCCAACTAACCCTAACCCTAAAAAACTAAAATTGAGACTTAGTAGTGATGGGCAAATCGCAGTATTTTAAAAATCCCGCGCGGGATTCGCGGAATATAGTGTGAGCCGTGAAACATGATCCCGGAAGCACGTGGAAGGAGGTGATCGATGGTGACGCAGTAACGATTAACGGCTATGACGATCACCTACTTAATATGGGCTTCCCAGGATTATCGCTCCTAAACGTCGTATAGAGTCTTTAGCGATTATAAGGGTAATAGCGGTGATAAGGGTTTTAAGGAAGAACTATAAGTAAAGGGATATATGATATATCGGGGATTTAAGTAATACAGGACATTAAGAATATATCTGTTAAATAATAAGTTTAGTATGTTTAATAGCTGTAGGAGCGCATATGTAATATAACAGTATATAATAAAGGCTTCGCGCCCTACAAGAACAGTTCAGTTAGTGCTTATCATAAGACCTGTCCTTAAATAATTACTTGTCTTCACTGCATTATAATACCTACGAACATAAATACACCACTCTCCAAATCTAACCGCCTCTTTCGACTAAGTCGTTCATAGGTTACACGACGTATCCGTTTGAGAAGCGACCGAGACGCCGACGCCGGTTCTCTGGTGTCATTTTGGTGGTGACTGTGAGATTCGACATACAAGAACAGCTGGACTGTGGAATAAGATTTAGTACTCCGATAGCATATGATGTGCCAATAAATAAGAAAAGACAATTTAGTAAAATAAAACAAAGTAAAGAAGAACCAAATGTATAAGACTTACCCAGTACCACTAAGACCAAAGAAGAATGAAATCTGAACAAATAGAAATCATCTTCAGCAAGTCCCAAGCCATGAAAGAACTCAAAAAAGCCTTCAAAAAGAAGCCTGGTGCTCGTATCGTAGAAGAAGAAAGCATATTGTCAGTAAATCCCCAGATGTAATAGCATTGAAACAGAGATGTACAGTTTTATTTGAGGCACTTACCAATGAACAAGTCCAGGTAGCCCAGAGGATTGTCAATGAAACCTTTGGTAATCGAAACATTAATAAAAGACAAATTCCTCAGGCCCTGGAACTTTTGGTAGAAATATTAGAAAGTGTATCAATAAATAATGAAAATAGAATAGAAGAAATTGTATATGTACCCCAATATATTAAATTACCAACAGTACCTATTTTTTGTAACCAATGTCAGCATCAAGAAAGTTCTAAAGTCAAAGAAATAGCCTACCTAAGCATTGACTTACCAGGTAATAGGACACTTACTGTTGTTTCTAAAAGAAAAGAAAAGGATGACATCTTGATGAATAAGATTAAAAATTCTGTGCCTCTAGTAGTTGCAAGGCTGGAAGTCCTTTCAATGTTGTCTTGTTATCAGAAAGACCTAATTTCTGAATTAATTGACTTTTACCTTGTTCCAAAAGTAGATGAGAACAGAACTGGCATTAAAAAGAAAGAAAGTAATAAAATTGGAGTTGAAAAAGCTATGCAAATAGGAATTGAAAAGGCCAAACAGATTGGAAATAAAAAAGACAAATGAACTAGAGTTGAAAAAGACAAATGTAAAACATTCGAATATTTTTAAAAATCTGCTAACATGGATTGCACTGATGAAAAAAAAAATGTTGATGAACCTAGTAGACTAATGAACAGCAAAAACGACTTGCATGATGAGTTAGAGGACTTGATCAACAGTTACTTGGAAACCCTGATGATCTGGATACCCAAATCAGATATATCCAAAGAACCAAAACCTGCTGCAACAAATGAATCTAAGGCATGCATTCATTATCAAAAATCTGCAAAAATAGGAAATGTCAATAGAACAAGAAAAGTTGGAAATTATTGTCAAAATAGAATTGAAGTTGAAAAGCTAGACTTAAGAAAAATGATCATGAGGCACTTGGACAGTATTTGAAAAATATTAAAAACAGAATTTGAATAGGCAAAATTGTTTTGGGTCCTGCTGTGAAGGGAAAATCAAAGACCCACTCAAACCTAATAAAGAGTCTCCTAGAAATAAAGCCAAAAAGGATGAACATGAACCCTTTATTAGCAAATGCAACTCTGTGAGTTGGACTCTCCTGTTGGTACATATAATGTTAGTTATTGTTATAAAAATAGAGTTCAAAAGGATGAACATAAGCATTAGAATACAATAAAAAACTTGCAAACATGGAATATACAAAAGGAATATATAAGGTTAAGCATTGTTATTACAATGGAATTGATGTTAAGAAGGATGAACAACAAGCACTTACTTGGTATTGAAAAACAGCTGATATGAAAAATAGTGATAGAATATTCGAAGTTAACTGCTATTATGGAACGATAGTTGAAAAAGTCATTAGAACTAAAGCTCTTGCTGCCCAAATTCATCATCAAATCATATTGGAAAGCCTAGACAAAGCTTGCGAAGATTGGAACAAAGGGTTAATAAGTTTAAAAAGACTATTAAAGATGACTATCAAAGATAAAGAATCCATACATAGTTGAACTTGAAGGATTGCCATCATCTGGATGTAGTCTTGGCTCTTGTTATCAAACTGGAAACCACTTCAAAAAAGAGAAATTGAGTAGTAAAATATCTGAATAGTACTTAAAACATATTGAAGAAATGATGTTATATCAAATCAAACACATATATATTGATGAAAATGAGACTCTTCGATACTTACCAATGTATGAACCATGTATCTGTGTCTTTGATCCTAGTGAACAGATTATTTGGGCTACTCAAAGTCATGCTGATTTCTTCTCTGTTGTTCAACTTTGTCTTGTGGAACTTGACCTTAAGTTGGGAAGGAATGTGAGCTGTAAAACATAATCTCAGAAGTATATGGAAGGAGGTGATCAATGGTGACATAGTAATGATTAATGGCTATGACGATCACCTACTTAATATGGGCTTCTCAGGATTATTGCTTCTAAACATCATATAGAGTCTTTAGCAATTATAAGGGTAATAGTGGTAATAAGGATTTTAAGGAAGAACTATAAGTAAAGAGATATATAATATATCAAAGATTTAAGTAATATAGAATATTAAGAATATATCTGTTAAATAATAAGTTTAGTATGTTTAATAGCTGTAGGAGTGCATATATAATATAACAATATATAATAAAGGCTTTGTGCCCTACAAGAACAATTCAGTTAGTACTTATTATAAGACCTGTCTCTAAATAATTACTTGCCTTTACTGCATTATAATATCTATGAATATAAATACACCATTTTTCAAATCTAACTGCCTCTTTTGACTAAGCCATTCATAGGTTACACAACATATCTGTTTGAGAAGTGACCGAGATGCTGATGCCAGTTCTTTGGTGTTAATAATGTGAGCCCTATTTTTTGTAAATCATAAAGGCTGAATTAAGTAATGATCCCTACCCAATTTGAAATCATGTGAAAAGTAACTATGATATCCCAAAGTCAATACATTTGCTAAAATAAACTTAAGTATTGGATTCATATTGAAAGTAAAACTATAACCTAACCCAAACTAAAAACTATCATTAAACTTATTATTATTAACTATCATATACCCATTATTAAATTACTAAACTGCATTTTGATCATTTACTATAAATCATGTGACCAAGCCATTAACATAAGAGAACTCTAATCCAATTCGACATTTTGTAATCCCAGGTTAAAGAAGTAGCAGAAAACTTATTAAACTTTTCTAAAAATCATAATAAAATAGATTAGATTTATAAAAGAAAACAAAATTGGAATTAATTTTTAGAAAAGACAAGACAGAAGCTATGAATAATACACAACTTAAAGAACTAATTGACATTATGACATAATTATTCAAAGATGTTACTAGAAGCATTACTGATAGAAATAGACCAAATTTCAAAGAAACCAACTTTGTAAAGTAAGGAACTTTAGTAGGAATGATGATAATTATCCAATTGAATAGTTTGAAAACTTCGAATGAGTCATAAAAACAAACAATTAGAATAATTAATGAAAGATACAAATCACTTCTGACCACCTGTGAGGTATGGCTATTGAATGGTACAAAGACAACTAGGATAAGATAAAGAAACAGAGTAGTAGAAAACAGCTTTCATTTCCAATTAGTAATATTCTTTACTACTTTGGAAAAGTAACACAAATAGCAATTAAACTTAACACTTTAGTTCAAGATGAAAATGAGAAAGTTGACATTTATACAATGAAATTCAAGAATTTGTTAAGTTAGATAGACCTCTTACCAAATCATATATTGTACAAATGTTTCTTGGAGGACTAAAGAAAAAAACAATCACATTTGTAGTCATAACATTATTACAAGATCTAAATAAAACTATCATAGCCATTAGAAAAGTAAAAGCTAGAGATTATTATGGCACCTATATATTCAAGACTGTCCAGTTAACTGATAAATAAAATGAATTAATCAAAACCCTAGTCAAACAAGTACAACAACTATTAGTAAACTACATTATATTAAATGATAAAAAGAAAAAAGACATACTTAAACCAGAGAGACATCATAATAACTACCAGAAATTGAAAAAAGAAATTATATGTTACAGGTGTGAAAAAATGAAACATATTACTAGATATTGTTAGTTCAAAAGATGACTATACTTCTTGATAAAGAAATAAGAAGGCCAGTCCAGATAAAAAAGATGAATTATATAGTTCAAGATGAAGACAAACTATATAATCTTAGGAAAAGAAAGCTCTAATTCCAAGTTGACAAATTTGAGAAAAGGCTAAGACTACAAGCAGAATTAAAGTAGAAACTAACTAAGGCAACAATAAAATGAAGAACCACTTTTAGTTGATTTAGAAAAAACCTTTGATCTAATAAAAGAAGCCAAATTTTAACCAATTCAAAAACTTCACAGAAGATGAAAACTCTTTATAGTTGACAAACTGGCCTCATATAATATTACTGAGGATCTATTGAACTTACTCACTCATATTACCTATAGGCAGATGCTCCAATATCTAAACCAATGATAAAATTTGACTCAAGCTCTTTAAAGACCCATTACTACCTAAGAAGCTAGAATAGTAAATTTTGGAAAAATCTAATAAATGATCATTGCATACTGTTACAACTGAATTAAAGACAATCCTGTAAAGACTATATTGGACCTTGGTGCTGTTATAAGTATAATAACCAAAAAATTCTTAGACAAGCTTTACTTAAAGATTGATCAACTTTTAATCACAGTGGTAGTTACAGTAACCAGCACAAGAACAAAAGTGTTAAGACAGATTAACAACTTCAAATTAGTAATCTGAGATGCTGTCTTACTTAATACTTTTCAGATAATCAAATAAGCTGACAAAATACTACTTTTGGAAACAGACTAGTTCCAGAAGGCTCAAGTTAGAATCTACTTTGATGAGCAATAGTTATTCTTAAAGAACAAGAAAAATACTATTAAAGTCCTTATATCAAATAACAGAAAACAAGATTAGAAAAGCTGAAAGAAAAAGACCCATGAGATAGTAATAGTGAAGATATATTTGATGGACTTAACTATGAGAACAAGAAATTGAATAAAGCAGTAAGATGCTACACAGAAGAAGTGTTGAACAAAGAAGATGAACTTTACAATAACTTGTAAAATAATAAAACTAGCCTTACTATTTATCTAACAAATATCAATAAACTTTCTACTGATATACAAGATGAATTAATCAATTAAACAATTGAAAAAATTCATGCAGACAGACTTCTTAAATGAAAAAAGAAAAAAAAAAGTATTAGAATTTTTTAGAAAAGAGAAACTAGTTTTCATGAAAAACATACAGAAACTAGGAGAAACAAATATAATAACCTACTAAATTAATACTGTCAGTGCTAGACTAATTAAGCAACATGTTTACTAAATTGCCAACTGAGCAGAAGTTTGTGGAAAAAGAGTTAAAAGAAATAGAAAAATGGAGGCTTATTCAAAGATCCAATAGTTTGTAAACATCCTTAGTAGTAAACATACTGAAAAAAAGCAGAAAGTTATAACTATGCATAGACTACTACAAACTAAATGCTCTAATGAAGAAAAATGCTTACTTATTGCTACAGATCACTAATCTACTAGAAACCTTTAGGACCACCAACTGAATTCCAAGCTTGAATCTAAAAAATAGATATTACCAGATTAGAATAAATGAAAAAGACCAGAAAAAGATAGCATTTATTATTTGAAGTGGTCTTTTTAAATTCAATATAATGTTGTTTGATCTATATAACACTTTAGCAATATTTTAGCATCTCATAGATGAGGTATTAAAAGAATGCATAGGAAAATTTGTTGTTATCTTCTTGACAATATCAACATATATTCAAAAACATTTGATGAGCATCTAGCTTATCTAAAAGAAGTATTTAAAAAATTGAATAAAACTGGATTAAAAATAAATATTGACAAGTACAACTTTTTTAAACTGAATATTTATTTTTTAGAACATATGGTTGGCTATAACAGGATTAGACTAAACATGGTAAAAGTGAAAAAAGTTGAGCACTTTCTTGTATTTCAAACCCTTTGACAGTTAAGAGGCTTTATTAGCTTAGCATTATTCTACTAATAATTCATTTCGAGATTTGCCACAATTGCCAAACCTTTATACTATTTGTTACAGAAAGGTGTTAGTTATAAGTAGGAAAATCAACAACAGAATGCATTTGAAAAATTAAAAGAACACTTAATTTCAGCACCTATACTCAAATATCCTAACTTTAACAAGATTTTCTATCTTTATACTAACACTTCAAGAACAGACTTGATGCTGTATTAGTGCAAAAAGGTACAGAAAACAAGGAATATGTTATCTCCTATGCAAGCCAAAGCCTCTTCAAGACTGAATGAAACTATTTGGCAACCAAATTAGAATGTCTTGCAGTACTCTGAGCTATAGAGCACTATCATTATTATTTCAGATTTGGGCTATTTGTAGTAGTAACAGACTATAAGAAATTTAAGACAAGAAAAGGAAAACAATATAAGGGAATAAATATAAAATATGTATGATGAAATATACAAACAGATAGGATAAGAATAAGTAGAAACAAAAACTAAAAAAAAAACATTTTATCTATATATACTTATAGAGAGAAGAAGATAAAAGAAACTAAATTATAGAAAAAAGGCTTTTATTTAATAAAGTCATAACAATACTGTTTATGTAAAATGGAATCATGAAAGACTTTAACTGACTGTATCTGTTTGATGTTACTATTACACTTCTGCCTTTTGAAATAATACAAATTTTACTACCTGTATAATGTTTATATACAATTATCTGATGAGCACTATTTGACTCTGAAATAATCATATTTTCTAATATATGCTTACTACTTAGTATGTTATTTGCAAATGGAACTCAATTGAACAAACAGCAATTTTGAAAACTGATCATTCAACATTTCTTGACTATCTCTGTGCAAGTCTATAACCTGTTCCTCAAGTATAGTCTAAAGCAAATCTGTTATACAAAAAACTTAATCTTGAAAAATATTTAAAAGTTAACTACATCAGAATTCTATTAATTGGTTAAGAACCTCTCATAGAACTTGAAGTTAAGTAGATAAAAAATGTGAGCCTAATTTTTTGAGAATTATGAGGGTCCAAATCAAGCAATGATCTATATCCAATTTTAAGTCATATAAAAAGTAACAAAAATGTACTTCTGTTACTTATACTATTTTTTTTATTTATAAGATAAATGAGATATTAGTCTTTTCTTAAATATAATTAAAATGTAACAGATATTACATTTATGTTAAAAATTAACTACCAATGTATATAAAAGTTTTATTATAAATAAAAAGCCTACTGCTCAGGAGAAAAGTAACTACAATACACCCAAGTCAACATATTTGCCAAAATAAACTTAAGTATTGGATCTATATTGAAAATAAAACTATAACCTAACTCAAAATAAAAACTATTATTAAACCCATTATCATTAACTATTGTTTACTTATTATTAAATTACTAAACTGCATTTTGATTATTTACTGTAATTACATAACCAAGCCATTAATGCAAGAGAAAGACTTTAACCTAATTCAATATTTGTAACTCTAGGTTAAAGAAGTAAAAAGAAATACAAGAAGACAAAAGTTAATAGAAGAATAGATTAAAGGAAGACTTAAAAAAGAAGAATAGTACTTACCTATAGATAAACTATTTAGTCAAATCTAACATGCCTATTTTGACTAAGCTACCATAGGTTACACAAATTTGGTGAGAATTAGTGACAGATTTACTAATTTATTGCACAACAATAGTAAAGTTTTGTTTTTTTTTAATTTTTACAAATTAATAAAAATATATATAAATATAATTAGTAGAAACATACTTTCTTGTTAAAATAATATATTTTAATTATATTTAGTATTTCAAAATAATGCCAAATCA